AATTTCAAAAAATCAGAAAAAATCAAGTAAAAGTAGAAAAATTATTGTACGCTTGAATTTCTTGTGTGACTAGTCCTTCCTTACCCGAGAAGGTGACGAGCGAGTTGGCCTCCTGCGGGACGATGTCGAGGCCGTCGGCCGAGATGATGTTCATGGTGTGCCCCTCGAACTGGATCTGGATGGGGCAGCTCAGTGACCCGGCGTTGATGATGCGGAAGCGGTAGCGAAGGCCGGACTCGATCTCGAAGGTGGCGTACGGCGTGAGGGTCGTGTTGCCGGTGGAGGGGCGCTGCGGGACAGAGGACGTCGTCACTTGAGGCCGTCGCCTGTGTCACTGTGACCACCGCCGTCACCGTGACTGTCGTCGTCACTGTGACCATATCGCCGTCACGCGCGCTGCTCACCGTGTAGGTGCCCTGGCCGTTGATGAGGATACAGTCGGCGGGCTGGCCCGTGAGGCGGGTGGCGAGCCCCGGGAAGACGAACTCGGCGGGGACGTGCATCCAGTCCTGGAGGATGATGACGTGCTCGGAGACGTCAACGTCGTACCGGTCGCAGGTCGGGTTGTCCTCCAGCGACTCCCGGATGATGAGGGTGCCCACCACGCCGTTCACCTTGTGCAGGCCTATGGAGGCGGACCCAACGAGGAATATGACTTGTCGAAAACGATGTAGAAACAACAAAAGTGGCGTCGAAACGATATTATCGTTTCGGGGACCAGGCGGGTCGTGTGCTCACCAGAGTGCGAGTGCCAGAAGTAGGTGCCGGCGGGCTCGGCCAGGAACTCGTAGCGGAAGGTGCTGCCGTAGATGACGGGGCACTGCGTGACGAGCGCCACGCCGTCGAACCACGGCGTCTTCTCCTGCGGCAGCCCGTGCCAGTGGATGGCCTCGGCGTGGCCCGGGAGGTGCACCTTGAGGTCCACGATGATCGTGTCTCCGCGGCACACCTATATGCGCCGACCAAGCACACGCTACCTGTGAGCTCACCGTGGAGTTGGGGCCGGACCCTCCCCGAGGAGTCCTCTATGCACGCGCACACCTATTTTTCAGTTTTTTCTTGATTTTTGGAAATGATTTTTTTTCTGTATATTTCTTAGAATTTTTTCTTACCCCTTTTCTGCCGATTTCCAACTTTTCTGTTTTTTCACGTTTTTCCTTGAGTGAAGCACCCCTTGACCGCCCCCCCCCCTCCCTCTTGCCCCACCCGGTCACCAGAGGACTCACGTGGATGCCGGGACCGGGCAGCTGCCGGTTGATGGTGTACACGGTGCGCTCCACGCCGTCCGCGAACACGCAGTCGTTCTCGTAGCACTGCGCCTCGTCGCCGGCCGAGCAATTTCCGCACGCCCTGCGAGGATTCAAAGGACGCCGTCGCGTCAGGACGCCGCGTCGGGCAGCAGCAAAGAAAGGGGTGTTGCGGGACTCACTGGGTGAACACGGAGTACACCTCCTCGGTGAACACGTAGTGGCATGTCCTCGGCCAGGGGTCCTCGGTGCAGTCACGGTAGCACGGACCTGTTGACAGTCAGTTATGTTTACATCACAGCTCCTTGTTAGGGCTCTCACTTTTACCCGCACTCCCGGGTAACTCGGGTACCCCACCCGCCCGGGTAGGAACCGGGTAACACGGGTCTACCCGGGTACGCGGATAGACCCAGCGGAACTGCGCCTGTAGGTAGGCAGTTTTACGCACCGGTTCTACCCGGGTAACCCGCTGCTACCCGGTGAGACCCATTTACCCGGTTCCTACACGGGTTCCGGGTACCCGCGGGCGCGGGTACGGGTTTTGAGAGCCCTACTCCTTAACACACACTTCCACGCTCTCCTCGAGGGGTCGGATCTATCCGCGCTCATCCCAAACCCGCACCCAGATCTGTCTTCCATCGCTGCCCGTCGGCGACCTCGAAGGCGGCGAAGACGAGGAGGCCGACTAGGAGGAACAAGACCAGCGCCCGGGACCCCATCGTGTGGCTGTGCCCGGGTAGGGCGCTCTCGCGGTGCTTTTAGCGGGGGCCCAGGGCGCCGTACGGTCTCCTCGCGCCAACCTCGCGCTCTGCTGGAGGCAGCTCAGCCGTGGAGACGGGTGATTCGGCATGCACGCGGTGTAAGTCACAACAAATAACAAGTCGATATTGACGTCAGCAAAATACTCGGAGCCAAGGGTTGTTTTGACCTAGCGAGGATTGTTTTGACGCTATCTTCACCGCATCCGAACTATCTTGAACCATAGTGCAGTGGTAGCGGGGCTGCGGCCGGCGGCCGGGGAAGACCCGAAGTCTCCTGATGATGGTTTGAAAATCTGACATCGTTCCCGCGCAATCTCGAGCCATCGAAAGTGCTTCGATTGATCGAGCCACTGACGTTGATGACGTCATGTGCCCAGCTGAGCCTGCGGCCGGTTTGAGAAAATTTGTTTTGGTTTGGGCAGTCTTTAGTACCGGTTGACGCTGGAGTGTTGTGAACTTTGAACTCTTACCCGGCATTCACCGGCCTGTAGTAGTGTGGGTGACACATACCCCTTACTCAAGCCTTATTGCTGCCCATGCCCATTCGCTCTTAGTTCCAAGCCCATTCAGTCAGGGACAGCTGTTGAATGCAATCTTAGAGTATTGACACTGCCCGATCAAAGTTCGCGAATGGAACTTTGATTGTTTCGAGCAATCTGTCCGACAGTAAGGAGTCTCATCCCTGTTCCTCACCACAAGCGAGCTGAAACCCTGCAGAAAAATGTAACTACCTTGGAGTGGCACAAATATTTCTTTAATTTTCAGGATAAACTAGGTTTTGTTCATAGTAATTTTGTATAGATTGCATGTTTTAACTTTCATCTACAACAATTTTTTTGTAGGTCACTTGCAGGTCGCACCTTGTTTATATCGGGGGCTACACGAGGTATAGGAAAAGCTATTGCATTGAGAGCAGCAAAAGACGGAGCGAACATAATAATTGCGGCCAAATCTGCGCAGCCTCATCCGAAACTCCCTGGGACCATCTACACAGCAGCAGAAGAAGGTAAGACACATTGTGGCCTTATGTTGAGTGAGTTTAATCGTTGTGGAGCCTCTAACTTCCATGCCTTTCTATAGTTGTAGCTGCGGGTGGGAAATGTCTTCCATGTGTGGTGGATGTACGAGAAGAGAAGCAAGTACAAGATGCCGTGGATGCAGCTGTTAAGACATTTGGAGGGATTGATATTGTTGTAAACAATGCCAGTGCCATACAGCTAACAGACACCTTAGCAACTGATATGAAAAGATATGATTTGATGCAGAGCATCAATGCCAGGGGAACATTTTTGGTGTAGGTCACTGCTGCTGTACTATTTCATAAATAGAAATTTAGCCTTGTCTCATATCCTCTGAAGCATTAGCATTAACAATTACTTGTTTCGTTTTCAGCTCTAAATTGTGTATACCACATCTTAAAAAGAGCCCCAACCCACACATTCTTAATCTTAGCCCACCACTGAACATGTCCAAGCATTGGTTCAGACCTCATGTTGCTTACACCATTGCTAAGTATGGAATGTCAATGTGTGCTTTAGGTATGGCAGAAGAGTTTGCAGCTGATGGTATTGCTGTCAATACGCTTTGGCCTAGGACGGGTATGTACCCAGTTAATCTATCTGAATGAATTAATTTCTTTTTAAATCATCCACAATAACATTGTCTAATTTTTTGTGTGATTTTTTTAACAGTGATTTTTACAGCAGCCATTGAAATGTTAACTGGCACAGATTCAGCTCGCTATGCTCGTAAGCCGGACATTGTCTCAGATGCTGCCTATTTTATTCTCACTAAGCCATCTCGCTCATGCACTGGAAATTTCTTCGTTGATGAAGATGTTGTTAAGGCAGAGGGTGTAACTGATCTGACCCACTATGCCTGTGATCCAAGTAAGTAAACAAGTGTTTTTCAAGGTTTTTAGGAAGACATTTATTTGAATCTCTTGAAAGTTACCACCTTGAATGATATTGACAAATGCTGCTCTTTTTCCAGGCAATGCGCATGACCTGATGCCTGACCCTTTCCTTGATGAAGCTCCTGTAGACCAAGGGCATTCAAAGTCTGCTGAAGTAGGAACTGCTCAGATTGAAAAAGTTTTCAGCTCCATTCAGAGGCATATTACACCAGAGGTTGTGAAGAATGTTCAAGCAGTCTACCAGTTCCAAATATCAGGTACTAATTTAATTTATCATTGCTATATGAAAATAAAGAGTGTTCAAATTTTTTTATTGAATCAATGTGCCTCCAGGTGTTGAAGACAGTTTATGGTACCTTGATCTGAAAAATGGAAATGGATCAGTTGGTAAAGGCAAACCAGAGGGTAAACCGGACTGCAAAATTGCAATGGACTTCAAGAGCCTTCTTGATATGTTGTCAGGTACTTAAAATATTGTTATATTCTTTTTATATGA